GAGATTCCTTAAAAAACTGGAAACAGAACTGCCTAGCAGTGGGCTTACATACCGAGGAAACCAGAATTGAAAGAGACATGTACCCCAATGTTCATCACAGCACTGTTTACAATAGCTAGGACATGGAAGCAACCTAGATGCCCATCAGCAGACGAATGGATATTAAAGCTGTGGTACATATACACTATGGAGTATTACTCAGCCATTAAAAAGAATCCATGTGAATCAGTTCTAATGAGGTGGATGAAACTGGAACCTATTATACAGAGTGAAGTAATTCAGAAAGAAAAACACCAATACAGTATACTAACGCATATATATGGAATTTAGAAAGAAGGTAACGATGACCCTATGTGTGAGACAGCAAAAGAGACACAGACATAAAGAATAGTCTTTCGGACTCTGGGAGAAGGCGAGGGTGGGATGATTTGAGAGGATAGCGTTGAAATGTGTATGTTATCATATGTGAAGCGGGTTGTCGGATCAGGTTCGATGCATGAGACAGGGTGTTCAGGGCTGGTGCACTGGGATGGGGAGGGGGGTTCTGGATGGGGAACACATGTGTGCCCGTTGCTGATTCATGTCGATGTATGGCAAAAATCACAACAATATTGTAAAGTAATTAGTCTCCAATTAAAACAAATAAATTAATTTTTTTAAAAAGACAGTTGGACACAGGCACATAGGAAGAACATCATGTGATGATGGAGGCAGAGGTTGGGTGATGCAGCCCCAAGCCATGGAATGACACGGAAGCTGGAAGAGAAAAGGAAGGACCCTCATCTAGAGACTTCAGAAGGAACTCAGTCATGCTGAGACCTTGATCTCAACTTCCAGCATCTAGAACTGGGAAAGAATAGACTTCTGGGGACTTCTCTGGTGGTCCAGTGGCTAAGACTGTGTACTCCCAATGCAAGGTGTCTGGGTTTGATCCCTGGTCAGGGAATTAGCTCCCACATGCAACTAAAGGTCTAGCACACCTAACGCTGCAACTGAAAGATCCTGCATGCTGTGGCTGAGACCCAGTGCAACCGAGTTAATTAAATAAGTAATAAATATATATTTAAAAAAATAAAAATAAGGTTCTTGCAATAATCTCTAGGGGCTAAGAACTTTACCTTCTGTGTTAGTCCCAGAAAGATTTGCTTTCTGCAGACTATATGGTAATTTTGAAAGCCAGTGAATCAGAATCCAGCAGCCTAACCAGCACTAAACTGGCTCAGAAACTAAAGACAGGTGACCTTAATTAAGTACCTGCTTCTTCAGTCCCCCTTACTACTCCTTCACGGGAACTTCCGCACTGAAGGACAAAAGAAGAAATAAAGGACTGAAGAATTTTAAGCTCTTTTTCAAGAAGCTGCCTTGAAGAAGCACTATAGTAGATGAGGGAAAGACCAAGAGACAGTTTTTCCACTTTACATATAATAGAGTTCTAGGTAAAATTTTATTTTAAAAGCATTCTGCAGGAATTCCTTTGTGGTCCAGTGGTTTGAGTTTTGCACTTCCACTCTCAAAAGCATCGATTCAATCCCTGGTCAGGAAACTAAGATCCCACGAGCTGCACGGCATGGCTCTCCACCCAAAAACATTCTCCTACTACAGAGACTGAAAAACACTTGCCCAGGTGCTCTCTCAAGTCCTGGCTATTTTGCTGCATTCTCAGATCCACAACCTAAGGCAATACATTTCAGTTGTGAAAAGAACACAGCCAATTTTATATCAGTGATACAAATAACACTTATAGAAAGTCCCCTACATACATACAAGTTTCATTCCAAAAGCACATTAAGTCCAAAGTTAGCCTTGGTATGCAACCAACCCAATCAGCTACATAGTACTGAACTGTAAGAGGTTTATAACATTCTCACACAAATAATATTAATACATAAAAAATAAATGAACAACAAAAAAACTTTTCATCTTGGAAAGTACAGTAGTACAGTACAACAGCTGATATACAGGGGCTGGGCCGGCTGGCGTCGAGTGAACAGGCTAAGAAGAGTTCCTGCCTGGAGGAGGGAGAGGAGGTGGGAGACGGCAGAGCTGAAGGGTCATCAGCGACAGAAGACCAACAGCAAGCTGCAGTTTCACTCACATCTGACACTGATGGCACACACGTTCGCATCTTTCAAAGTTCACAACTTGAACGTTCGTACGTAGGAGACTTACTGTACATCCTATTTTAGGATAAAACACATCATGTACCCCATCTCCCGAAAAAAAACTTTCACTGGAACATTCTAGACGTAAAAATAATCACAGACTCCCTGTGTAACTGGTGGGAACAGCTGACTGACAGCAGAAACAGTGGCAGCAAGCTCTGTTCCTTGCACACCAGAAGCAGCAGCAGCAGCTGGGGACCAAAGGAAGCCCCCGGCCACGGGAGTCCCGAGAGTCAGGCGTCACTGCTCAGCGTGCTGTCCTATGCCTCCCACATCTCAAACTTCTGCTTCCTGGGGTTGGAATCTGTCTTTACTCCACCCACCCTGCCTAGTTCACACAACTGTCCAGGGGCACATCTAATACACTGAGGTACTACAGGAGACACGGCACCCACACTCTATGCCTCTGTGGGACACAGCGCCAAGTTTAAAGCAATCAACAATCTCACACAGATGGTCCCTCTTGTCCCTATCCTTTTAGGATCCACATTCTAAGACCCTAACTTGAGAATTATAAAGCTTAAAGATATTTACATTAAGAATATATCCAAAAAATAGCTGGAAAACACACACTCTGGAATTGATAGGTCAACTAATTCTGAACTGAATTCAAGTATCAGGGACAAAACTACATTTTGTAGGATTTATCCAGTAAGGCTAAGGACTCAGCATAAAACATCATATAAGCCCAAGTATAAGCCATGGTCTTTTCCCAAAAAAGTATCCCTCAAAAAATAGGTATTTGCCTTAGGTTCTAGTCCTTATAAAGTCTTTAAAGAGATAGACTGCTCTCAAGTATCTTATTTTTAACACACTAAGGCAAAAAAAGAAAAGAAAAGCTTCCAGAGGAAATGAACAATCAGAATGACAAGAATGCTAGCTTTGATGGCATAGTGGAGAATGACATAATGATCATTCCTAGAGAAGCCTGACTCAGATGAGACTTGGTCAGACAGAGAAGAGAGGGAAGGGACACTCTTTACTTATGACTGATTGGGGCACTGTCTGAAATCATTTTAATCAATACTAATTTGGGAGGCTTAGAGACATCAACCCAATAAAATCAATTTAAAAACAGGCAAATAATTCCAACATATTTTTGGAATTCGAAAAATCCTTCAAGCTAGGCTTCAGTAGTACATGAACTGAGAACTCCTAGATGTATGAGCTGGATTTGGAAAAGGAAGAGGAACCGGAGATCAAATCGCCAACATCCGCTGGATCACAGAAAAAGCAAGGGAATTCCAGAAAAATACCTACTTCTGCTTCACTGACTCAACAGACTGATTCCAAATAGGAAAAGGAGTACATCAAGGCTGTATATTGTCACCCTGCTTATTTAACTTTATATGTAGAGTACATCATGAGAAACTCTGGGCTAGAAGAAGCACAATCTGAAATCAAGATTGCCGGGAGAAATATCAATAACCTCAGATATGCAGATGACACCACCCTTATGGCAGAAAGTGAAGAGTCATCCTAAAGGAGATCAGTCCTGGGTGTTCATTGGAAGGACTGATGCTGAAGCTGAAACTCCAATACTTTGGCCACCTGATGTGAAGAGCTGACTCACTGGAAAAGACCCTGATGCTGGGAGGGATTGAGGGCAGGAGAAGAAGGGGACGACAGAGGATGAGATGGCTAGATGGCTTCACTGACTCGATGGACATGAGTTTGAGTAAACTCTGGGAGTTGGTGATTGACAGGGAGGCCTGGCATGCTGCGATTCATGGGGTCGCAAAGAGTCAGACACGACTGAGCGACTGAACTGAACTGAAAGGCTTTGACTATGTGGATCACTACAAACTGTGGAAAAGTCTTAAAGAGATGGGAATACCAGATCTGCTTCCTGAGAAAACTGTATGCAGGTCAATAATTAACAGAATCAGACATAGAACTGGTTCAAAATTGAGAAAGGAGCAGGTCAAGGCAGTATACTGTCACCCTGCTTATTTAATTTCTATACAGAGTACATCATGCAAAATGTCAAGCTGGATGAAGCACAAGCTGGAATCAAGATTGCTGGGAGAAATATCAACAACCTCAAATATGCAGATAATACCACTCTAATGGCAGAAAATGAGGAGTGAGGAGGAACTAAAGAGCCTCTTATGAGGGTGAAAGAGGGTGAAAGAGGTGAAAAGCTGGCTTAAAACTCAACACTCAAAAAACTAAGATCACGGCATCTGGTCCATGGCAAATAGACGGGGAAGAAAATGCAAACAGTGACAGACTTTATTTTCTTGGGCTCCAAAATCACTTCAAACAGTGACTGCAGCCATGAAATTAAAAGATGCTTGCTCCGTGGAAGAAATGCTATGACAAACCTAGACAGCATATTAAAAAGCAGAGATATCACTTTGCTAATCAAAGCTGTGATTTTTCCAGTAGTCATGTACAGATGTGAGAGCTGGATCATAAAGAAGACTGAGTGCCAAAAAACTGACACTTTTGAACTGTGGTGATAGAGAAGACCCCCGTGAGTCCCTCTGATAGCAAGAAGATCAAACCAGTCAAATCTAAAGGAAATCTACCCTGAATATTCATTGGAAGGACTGATGGTGAAGCTGAAGCTCCAATACTCTGGCCACCTGATGCAAAGAGCCAATTCACTGGAAAAGACCTTGATGCTGGGAAAGATTGAGGACATCAGAAGAAAGGAGTAACAGAGGATGAAATGGTTGGAGGGCAACACCAACTCAATGGACATGAGTTTGAGCAAACTCTGGGAGATAGTGAAAGACAGGGAAGCCTGGAGTGCTGCAGTCCATGGGGCTGCAAAGAGTCGGACATGACTTTGCTATACACAAATCTTTTTCAAAAATTTTTTGAGGGAATAGCGGTGGAAAAGAGGTTATCTCAGGCCCAATGGCGACTGTGGTAGCAAGCGGCAGCGATGGAAAAGAGCAAGGAGTCGAGACTTCCGTCACCTATTACCGACTGGAGGAGGTGGCGAAGCGCAACTCCCCGAAGGACATATGGCTGGTGATCCACGGGCGAGTCTACGATGTCAGCCGCTTTCTTAACGAGCATCCTGGTGGAGAAGAGGTTCTGATGGAACAAGCTGGAGGAGATGCAACTGAAAGTTTTGAAGATGTAGGCCACTCCTCTGATGCCAGAGAAATGCTCAAGCAGTACTACATTGGTGATGTTCACCCGAATGACCTTAAACCTGGAGGTGGGAGCAAGGAACCTCGGAAAAGCAATACATGCAAAAGCTACTGGTCGTATTGGATCTTCCCCATCGTGGGTGCTATTCTCTTAGGTTTTCTGTATCGTTACTACATGGCAGAGAACAAGTCCTCCTGAGAAGACCTTGTTGAAGTCTGGAAAGCATTTCCACTTGGGAGCAAGAACTAGAGACTTACTTGGAGCCTGCAGCAGTGCCCTCTTCTTGAGTCCTGCCATTTGTATTCTTACCCCTTGGAACCCAGATGGTTGGCCAGACATCCACCTCAGCTCCACGGCCGTGTCCAAGTCATTTCTCAAGAGCCTTACTCTCAAAGCACCTGCTCATTTTTCTGTATTCTTGCCTTTGTTTCCTCTCTTTACTCTTTTTCATGAGCGCCTTTATGTTTCAGAACTGTCTTCTATGATTACAGTCCACATGTCATTGTGGCATTCCCTTTGGTAAAATTGCCTGCTTTCCAGTACTTCGAATGCACGTTAGACATATTTAACAGCGTGTCACATTCTGGTTTGGAAGCATTTCTTTTTCCCCTTTTCAAGTAAATGTTCCTATTTTTTAAATTATGACTTAATTTTATTATTTATCATAAGAGGTTTTAATTCATGGCATCAGATTGCACATCTGTGACTTAAAACACAACTGCAAAATTATCCTTTTCCTTGTTTGTAATTGTTAAAACTGACCAAGTGTAGCCAGGAGCCCTTGCCACCCTCTAAGGCATCAGATAGTGGTGCTGGATAGAACTCTGCTTCCCTTTTGTTCATTGGGAGTGGAGAGAAACAGGGAGAGGGAGAGATGAATTAGGATGATAGAGTGAATTCATAGTAATCTTTCTTTTGAAAAATATTGANCATGAGACAAGTGCTCGGGCCTGGTGCACTGGGAAGACCCAGAGGGATCGGGTGGAGAGGGAGGTGGGAGGGGGGACTGGGATGGGGAGTACATGTAAATCCATGGCTAAGTCATATCAATGTATAACAAAAACTACTGTAATGATGTAAAGTAATTAGCCTCCAACTAATAAAAATTAAAAAAAAAAAAAAAAGAAAAGTCAATTGTTAAATGGTAACAAATGCAATTCCAAACAATAAATGAAGGAAGAACAAAAAGGCCTCAGTTTTGCAAAAAGCTCGATATACCTGGATAAAATATCCAGTATCAGTATCATATACAGATTCAAGGATGATACATCTCAGTTTGGACTCTGTATTACCTCTGTATGTGCTCTCTCTGTATTACCTTCACAGCTTTTCTATAAATTTTAATTGTTCTAGGAAATAAAGTTTTTAAAGAAATCAGATTTGTGAGGCAAGGGATGAGGAGAGGGTGAACTGGAAGATGTCAAAGGTACAAACTTCCAGTTATAAGATAAATAAGTATAGAGAAGTAATGTACAACATGACTATAGTTAATCATGTACATACATGACTATATGGTATACAGCAAAGTTGTGGAGAGTGATCCTAAGAGCTATCATCAGAAAGAGAATTTTTTCTTCTTTCTCTTTATCTATATGACATGATGAAAGTTAGCTAAATCTACTGTCGTAATCATTTCTCAATTATGTACATCAAACTATTGTGCTGTACACCTTAGAGTTACACAAAAATTTATGTCAATTATTTCTCAATAAAAACTGAGGGGAAGTTGTTTATTTTGGGGGGGGGAGTTTTTAAAAATATGTATCATGTGTTCTGGAAAAAACCTGATTCAAAAAGCACTTTTCAACATGTTTTTTTAAAAAATTTATTTTTATAAACAGAAAAATAAAGACAGTAGTGAATCTTCATAACCAAGTACTTCAGCTTCTGCAGTTTCACAATTTTGATAACTTTTTTCAGCTTTATTGAGGTACATAACTGACAAAATTATATATATTCAAAGTGTACAACATAATTCGACATACATATCTTTGTGAAATGATTACCACAATCAAGTTAATTAACACAGCCATCACTACCCATATTTCCATTTTTTGTGTGGTGAGTGAAAAAGCGTTTTTAATGATAAGTCACTGATGTTACAAATGTACAATGTCTGAATAAAACTGCTTCAAGAAACATGAGGTACTTTAAATTAATGTATTGGGGAAGATGTTTCAGAAAAACCCAAACGAACTTTTTGGCCAACCCAATACAATGTGTGCATTTAAATGTATTTGGTAATTTAGAGATTAAATATCATAAGTAACCATTTAACTACTCCATCTATATCTATTAAAAAATAAAATTTTTATTTCCAAGTTGCATAAAATTTTAAATTTCTCATTGGGGAATTAGGGGGCTTATAACCAAAGCTGTCTTTTAGTCAGGTACATGAAGAATTTTCTAACACAAACAATCTGAAATGTTCCCTTGGAGACATACACAACAAAATAGAGCACCCCCACCAAAACAAAGGAAAGAAAGGAAAAAAAAAAGCCTAAGAGCTATCCACACAAACCAGGGGTCTAGATTAGGCTGTGCTACCTTTATCCTTGGCTGACAGTGATCCTGGAATCAAGGCAGGGTACAAGCTTAAAAACCTGGCAACTCCAGGTAATGACTTAAAAAAAAAAAAACAACAGAATATAAGATTTGGTGATAAAATTCCAGCGGCCTACTAGACCTTTGATATAAACACAGAGCAAGAAAAAAAGTCTTAATCCTTAGTCATCAACACAAGAAATACTTTATCTACCTGGACTAGATGATGAGACAATAATAGGTAAGAAAGGAAGAGAAGGAAGGAGTGAGAGATGGAGGCGGGAGGAAGGAAAGAAATACTCACCTCTGAAATATAAAAGCCATCAATGATGAACCAAATGAACAAATCTAATGAACTCTTCTCAAATCTCAGTTTCCTTAAACTTCCTTCTCCCATTTATTTATACTCTTTAAACTGATCATTAGCTTCCTTTGTCTTATTTTGTCCAATGGCATTCTCCAAGTTTCAGGCTCCAGACCTCTTCTCTCCGCCCCCTTCTCTTCAGTAAGCTGACACTGCAGTCCTAACTGTCCTCAAAGGTATATTCTAAGTCCCAGCTTCCCACCCTTATACCAACTCCCCATAATGCACCTCCCTTTGGATAGATGTCACTTCAAATACAGTGTGCTGAAAACAAAATCTCTTGCCCATCTCCAGACAACTCCCAACTTTCTTAATCCTCATTGGGTATAACATTTTCAGTCAAACTTTGCCATTGTTCTTCTATTGCTTTCCTCTTCACATCCTGTAATTAGCTAGTTCTAGCCCTGGTGACTCTTAAGAACATTCCAAAATTGGGAGTCTTAAAAAGGTTCACTGTCATTGAGTTAATATTTCCATTTCTAAGATTCCATATAATCTAAGAAAATCTGAAACGCAGAGATGTTCACTGAAATATTATAATGCCTGACAGTAAACATTTTCTACCAACAAATATTCAAACAAATTAAGCAGTTAAGTAAATTAGAATATTACTGTCATTAATAATTGATTATGAGAAAATATTAAGAATAATAAAAATGTTAATGACAAAATAGCAAATAATGACAGCAGGATACAAAATCATGTACGGGATAATTACATAACACACAAAAGAAACAAGGATTAAAAGGAAACTAGAAAGAAAAATACCAAAATATTAACAATTTTTCATTTGTGAATATCTTGCTAGATGGTGACAATGTGAGTCATTTTTGTCTTCTTTTTCTTCTTTCTTTATGGCTCTGCCATGAGGGATCTTAGTTCCCCAACCAGGGATCGAACCCAGGCAAGAACAGCCAAAAAAATTCTGAAACCAAGAATGGCAAAGGGTATATGGGAGATGTGGGAGGGCCCTTGCCCTACAAAAGCCTAAAAAAGTACTCAGAACTACAGTAATTAAAACAACAGGGAAGCCTCCTTGATGGCCTAGTGGTTAAGACTTTGCCTTCCAATGCAGAGGGTGTGGGTTCAATCCGTGGTCAGGGAGCTAAGATCCCACGCACCTAGTGACCATAAAACCAAAAACAATAGGGAACTAAAGCAGGAACAGAGAAGTCAACACCTCAATACTCATATATAGAGAGATGCAAAAGAGTTGGGATGACGAGACAAATCATTTTGAAAAAAAAGACAGCAATAACCAAATCCTAACTGCAGCCAAAATGTACTGAACATTACCATGAGTACACAACCTTAGGGTCAGAGGTCTTCTCTATCTGGATTTTCCAAAGACAATATGGCATGTGCCCATATCATGTACCATGTAAGATTCCAACAAAGTCTAGGAGCATGCTTTTATGTATTTATTGTTTTTAGGAGCATGCTTTTAAAACATGCAGCCTACAGCCTTCCTCTTCTCAGAGGAGGAAGATAGCCTCCTCCTGTACAAAACAGACCTGTGCTCTAATCCCATCCCCTCCTGTCAATTCAAGGCTTTTGCTCCAAATAAATGCCTCGTTAGTATTTTCTCCTAGCTCCTAGTCATTCGCTTACATTTTGGCAGGGGGAAAAAAACACGTCTCAAGAACCACTTTCTCTTTACCTTTTCTCCTTGACACAAAGAAAGCTTATTTAACTACTAATCTTTAAAAAGAAAAAGATTACCCCTGTCATCTCATTCACTCATGGGGCGGCAGGTCTCTGTGTCCAAACGCACTGTGCTGAGGCTGCTCTAGCTGTGGGCTCTAACAATTTCCTACTTGCCAAAGTCGAAAGGCCAACACTAGGGTTCATCTCACTTGGATTTCTTTTTTACCCTTGCAGACTGTGCTCTACTGACCATTCCCTTCTTGAAATGTCCTTGGTAACTGTGCATCAGCTTTCTCCTGGCTCTCCTATCCCTCTGCCTCCTCTTTTACCCTACCTACGGCTTTCTTTTCTACACGTTCAACACCTTCAGCCAGCTGCCACCAACAACTCCAGTTACCGCTTCTAACCGGAGTTCTTCCCAGTGCTCTAGCAGTCAACACTGACCAATACCTCTAACTGGAAGTGAACCAGACACCTCTAACTGCCTAACAAAAGCCATCATTAGCTTTTTCCAAAGCTGCTGCACATTCTCTATCTTGAGGAATGGCAACACCATCCACAAATTTAGCTAATTCAGAAACCTGGGGTTCATTACAGTCTCCTCTCACTCTCCTTTGACATCACACATTAAATCCAGTGAATTCTACTCCCTTAATACCTACCAGTATCCTGAAGCCTCCTGCAATTGCCCCCTGATGGATCTCTTGCCTCTAAGCCATTCCCCACACAGCAGCTAGAGTAATATTTCTAGAAAATCTCAATCTGCACTCTCAGCAAAGAACCCCACTCAGCACTCACCACACCTGCACCCCAGTCTTAGCTCCCTGATTGATATTTCAGGAATTCAAGCATGCCACTTACACCCCCACGTTAACATCAACTACAACGAAGCTTCTGCTTGGAAGACCTTCACCCTGCCCCCTCGTATTTACTTGGCAAATTTTTATTGGCTCTTCAAGATCCAGTTTAATACAACTCTCTGTAAATCTACTAAAAACTACTCAACTGTACACTTTAAGCAGATGAACTATATGGTATGTACACTAGATCTCAACAAAACTCATAATTTTTTGTAAGAAATAAGGTTTACATTCCATTTTTTTTAAATGGGTAAAAGACAAAACAGGCACTTCACAAAACAGAAAATTCAAATGACCAATAAACATACAAAAAGATGTTCATAAGCATCACTCAGGCAAATGCAAATTAAAACCTCAATGAGACATCAGTACATAACCAGAATAGCTAAAATTAAAAAGGACACGATCAAATATTACAAAGACATGGAACAACTGAAACCCCATACATTGTGGGTGGGAATGTAATGCAGTTCAATCAGAACTATTTCATGAAGCTGGGAAAAATACCTTTGCA